TACATCACACACCCACACTCACTCATACCTACATCACACACCCACACCCTTTTTCCTATAATTGCAGGCCGTTTCCAAGTGAAAAAACAAGAAATTCTACAAAATTCAACGCAAAAATCCGAAGACATTCCAGTCAGAAATACGATCTCTACGTCATATTGATTTCTATTGTCTTTTTGTTGGAGCCTACCAGTCTTTCTTTAGCTAGACACTATACTGAGTAGATGAAGTCGTTCATATGTTAGCAGTAGCTTGCTAAAAATAAACTATCACAGAAAAAAGTTTGAGAAACGTGTCCAATGAAGAGCAAAATTGTTTTAAGTGTCAATGTAATAGCTGATTTTGGATATGAAAGTTAGCTTTACAATTCTATGAATCAAGATGAAAGAATGCAATGTAACTGTTGGTTATAAAATATTGATGCGATCTTATTTCTCAAACTAGTTCAAGTCGACCGATATTTTTCTTTCAAATTTCATTTTGGATAACTTACATACTTTGCAAAACTTAACATCAATTATTGATGTCGTCGATTGAATTACGATCAATACAAGAGTAATTTAATATTATTGAAAAACAGCAGCAGTAAAAAAAGTTAAAGCACATATCAAAAGTGAAAGAGAGCAAAAGAAAGTTTACTTTAAATAGTTATTTTTAATCAACTATATTTCAACTGACGAAATGTTCATAGAAGTTTAAAGCTAGATATTTGATTGAATGTTTCTACGCCATTTTTTCCTAGAGTCCACTGATTGATATGAAGATCTTGTTAATTTAGATCTGATCGTTCATTTTTATCATGCCATCGAGTCTTATAAAGTTACTATCAATATCATTGTTACTAGAGAATGTTATCTTAAAATATTTCTGACTATAATCAAGTTCAATAAGGATGTTACGCCGATAGTTCACTAAATTATCTACAAACATTAATTTCAATATGAAGAAACTATTATTATTAATGTAGTTTAATATCTCTCAAATTATTATTGCTGAAGTATATGAAGATTGTACCTAATCATATTGTGTCAAATAAGAAACATGCATGCATATAATGAAAATAACGATTTTGCACATGCTCAGAACTTTCATTTCATCTCAATTTTGAGGGTGTGGGTGTGGATGTTAATGAAAGAAGATAGACACCGACACACAGCCACAGCCACCCACCCAACCCACAACCCCACACTTCACATCGCACAGCCCACACCCACACCCTTGGTATAGCCTTTTCACCGTTTGGTATAACCTACAGGCGAATCCAGTTACGGAATACTCGAATCCAGGTCCAAGATATCCTACGTCTAAAATTTCCGAAACAAAATTCAACAGATTACTATTTACATGCTTAAATAAATATTTTAATCATACTCGAGAAATGAACAGTTGAAAATCAAAATCAGTATTTCCATTCTTTAGGTATTCAATCTATACAGCAACATGCATGACTTATATGAAAAGATGGAGAACAAAATAGATAATTCATTAAATAGTTCTTCTCGATATTTTATTTTATAAAATTCTCGTATATGCCAATGTATTAGTGTTTTGTTAGTTATTCTTGCCAAAAGTGAGAATAAGTACTACATTGAGTACTCGCTATAGTACTCAAAAAGTATAATTACACATAAAACTTCTCGAGTACTCGAGTGAGTAACTTGAGTACTCATGCTAGCAAGTCGTACTCGCTTGATGAATATCTTCACTAGGGTTAGAAACTAGTGGATATTAACGAGACAGTAATACTCTTCATTGATTACAAATCTTTCTTTATAACCAAATTTAGCTACTTAACTGCGATATTAAATTTTAGGACTGATCAAATCAGTTTCCAAAAAGGAAAATTTATAGCTAATAATTATTTCAGTCGACATATATATGGACATTTTTGAACAAGAAAGACGACATTAAAGCAGCACAATCCCTTTTTATTCTATTAGAAACTACTAATACCAGAAGTCAACCTCTTAGTTCATCGATGTCATATTAATAATGATCATTCAATATATATAGTATTGGCTACGTTCAGTATTAGATGGAACAAAACTGATACTTAAAAAAATACTATATTTGATTAATTCTGTAAATTGATACATTCAAACAATTTCTTAACACATCGAATCTATATATAGCTATATAATGCACTACCTAAAATCATCATAATAGATCTTCGAGATAACAAAAATTGATGATCATGAAACATAATATTTATTTAATGCATGATAAAATAACATGTCTTTTTTTTTCAAAATAACTTAGCTACTGTGGAAGTTTCTTCTTGATTAAATTCATTGACAAGACATTCCACAATATAATTTCGAATAGGTACATTATCTGTATTAACAGGAAGTGAAGAATTTTTAGCAAGAATACATAATTCATAATGAATATTACGCATAAGATTTTTCAACACGAATAGTTGTTTCGTTTGCTTCATCAACTGATACCTCAAGTTTTTTTTTCTGGTGTATCTGATGGTTTAATAAGTATGTTTAAGTGATAAAACTTGTGTTTCACATTTTAATGCACAAAGACGAAATTAAAATCTATTCATGTATATGTTTTATCTAATGTATCCACAGTCAAATACATCTAGTTGTCACCAGATACCTATTTTAATATAAGTAGTATAAGGTAGTAAGAAGAAAGATACAAGGATGGAAAGTGAAGGTATCATTATTGTAAACTTGTACATTAGTGAGATCTTATATAGAAGAAGAATAACAATTGCGAAGGAGACGGAATAGAGAAAAACTTGCTTGATAATTGGTGTCATACAGTACAGAAAGTAGATTAACGAATAATTACGGGGAGAAAATTGAACACATTTCAGTACAATATACATTAGATTCGACTTAATTCTCTGTGCATAAATAATATGTCTTGCATGTAAAAAAAAAATATTTTGAAAAGATTGCATGTTTAAAGTATCCATATTGCTGTGAATGAGAGGTCAAAAATTAATATTTTTGTGCATCGCTATACATCTATACCTACATCCGACTTACGCACACGCACACTCATACATGAGATCTTCTCTCACCAATAGTTTAATTTACTGAGCATGTAGAATTATCTTATACTCAAATGTTTGAGACAAAACAAAAGTGCTTTTAGCATATTGATAATAAAATACACGAACGAATGCTCTAAATGCAGTACACTGCTCAGATTGAATAGAACAATCCGTAAACAATTCTAAAGTTTCATGAAAGTGTTTTGTTGAGAGTGAACTGCACTTTATTCTTTTTCTGTTAATATCAGACCACAATTAAGTTTTTTGAGATAGTTTAAGCATCAGTGGATAGATTTTGTTGAGATCTATTTGACAATACGATGTGCGCTCTACAAAAGCATCTCTTTGCATTGTTACACAATGACTGACATGATATTAATATTGAGCTATCGAGTGCATGTACACATCCTTGCATATTCCGCGTTCATCATTTTTTTCCATAGGTAAGTTCCATAGACGATAAAACCCATTCCTTTGTGTTCTATATGCTTAGTAAGAAGTTGATCTGAGTTCCAATGATGTTGCCCATCGCATATCGAAACAGTAGTTTGTAAACGTTTAAAAATACATCCTTGAAAACATAGATTTTTTATTACTCGACTGCTTTATGTCAAAAACTATCTAATGGTATTTCAGTTTGTAATGAATCAAAAGAGTTCTATAAAATATAGTCAATATAAATATTTCCGATAGATGGTGCTGCTTTACGATTTATATAAAATCATAGAAAAATAAATTAAATATAGATAATTATTTATTTATGTTAATTAATCAAAAAATATTTTTAAACATTTTAAAAATTATCATAAATCGTTTGACACTCCATTATGATTTGTCTTATAGCCACAACGAATTATCATGTATCCTTGTTTTCCAGTGGTCATAGTTTGGCACATTGACGAAATAAAGGTTAGAATATTAACATTCAAAATGAGCGATCACGGTGATGACGATCGAGATGATGATGAATCTAATGTTCGATCATCTCGCGAAAGACGAAATAGTCATAATGATGATAATAGTAGCAATCATTCTCATCGATGTAAGTTTATTACTATTAAAATATTAATATTTATTTATTTATTTACTAAAAAAATTCAGCATCGAGCAAACGTCATTCAAAATCAAGTTCAAAAGATATATCAGGTATTGGCAAAAAAGTAGCTGAAAAAAGTGGTGGTCTTTTTTCACCTGAAGATTGGATGTGCAAAAGGTTATTATTAGATTAGTAATCTCTTGTATAAATTCTCTAATATTACAGTTGTGGAAATATTAATTGGGCACGTCGAACAACTTGTAATATGTGTAATATGCCGAAATATCAAAAGGCTGAAGCACGAACAGGTAATAAATGTTTTAGAAAAAAAAAAAACGAATAAAATTATTTGAAAATTTGAAGGTGCTGGTGGTGGATATAATGAACGTGATAATGTTGAATATAATGAACGTCGTGATGAATCAGATAGCGAATATGATGAAGTGAAATAATATTGTATTGATAGATAAGATTTTTTTTTGTAATTTATTATTTTAGTTTGGACGTAAGAAAAAAAAATTTCGTAGTGCAACAGAATATGAAGATGAAAAATCACGTAATAAAAAACGAAGTACAACTAATTCGAAATCTCGATCATTGGGAGAGGTAATATTCGCACAGTGAGTATTTTAGAGATTTACAGCTTTTTTTCTTCTTTTAAAGAACATAAGATTTTTATATATGTTTTTGTATGTTTAGGTTGATGATGAAGAAGGTGATGATGATGATGAAGGTTTTGATGCTTCAAAAGTATTATAATGAAAAGATTTTAAAATAATTCTAATTCTTTTTGTGAAATTTTAGTATGCATTAGACAGTGATGATGATAATGAAGAAAAAAATAAAAAACATCAAAAAGCAAGTTCATCAAATAATAATAAAAAATCATCTGGTAGCCATGGAAGACGAAATTCGTTAGTAGATAAATTTTTATTTTAGTTATAAATTAAAATTTGAATATTTTTATTAGACGTTCTCGTTCAAATTCTGCATCATCGAATAGTCGTTCATCATCTCGTGATGGTCATTATCGTTCATCGTATGATAAAAAATCGTAAATATCTTAAAATATATTTGTATAATTTTCTTTTTTTTTCTTCAAATCATTTAGTAGCCGATATGATAAACCATCTTCTTCAAATACATATAAACGATCAAGTTCACCACGTAGTTCAAAACGAAATGATGATTCTTATGAACGACGACAATCAAAGTAATTTTAAATATTTTATAAATTATTTAATAATGAATTTTGTTTTTCTTCTTCATTCTCTTAATTAGATCTCGTTCACCTGTTAATACATCAAGTCGAAATCAACAAAAGAGTTATCGTCATTAGTATCGAATAACAATAAAGACATTTATCATATCATATTCGATTTTGTGTATAAAAAGAAAAAAAAACATTTATGTTCAAAATAAAACAAAAAAATAAAATCTGGTGAATCAATTCAAGATAATAGTGGGTTTTATAGAATTTGAAGTCTTTCAAGACGGACAGATTAGAAACAAAGAAGTTAAGCAGGGTTTTGGTTGTTTTTTTTTCAAGTATTCATATATCCTTAATTGATTAATGAGAGGTATATGTGCTAATACCGCTTAAATATAATATAGGATGTAGAAATAATCTTTCCACAAATGGCAAAATTAATTTTTTTAAGAAATGTGAAGCATCAAATCAAATATTTCTTTGTTTGTTTATTGAAGAAATATGACACAATCGGTGGTATCTATTATTTATCGTATGAATCATAAATACAATAGACTATTCAAAAGCCGGAAGAAATCTATCTAATGAATAAAATTATTGTTTAGCTTTTATTACTTTTTCTCTTTTGATTATTTGAGAATATAACTGATGACAACAATAGAATTTTTATTTGACAGAACGTTATAAATTTCTATTCTCCAATAAAATCAATCTCATTATATAAAACATTATGAATCATAAAAAGTAAAATAATTTTTTTTTTTTTCTTCTTAA